TACATTGGTTGTCACTAGAACTGATTTGTAGTTACTCCATACAGGGGGCCTGTAAATTGTATTCTAAACTTATAAATTGACTTATAATTGTGTGGTATCCATTGGCAAATGACTTAACTGACTTATGACAACTAATTTATTTCTCCTGGCCAGGTTCTTTTTTTCTGAAGTCACATTGTAACTTACTGAGTTTGGGCCATTAAAGACATTGACATATTTCATTTTGGGGTTTTTTAATGCTTTCAACTGATGTTCAGCTGCTGTTCACTGATACTACCATTTACTAGAAAAATAAAAATGTTGCTTAGTCTGCTAACTGGAAAAAAATTAAATTATTGCCCTTAATATGCTATGTGTAATGTGATAATTTTCCCTGTGAACCATCCTGGTAGAAGAAAAACATCTATGGAATGTGAATTAAAATAGATTAAATAAATGCAAAAGTGTGAAGTATAGATTTTTGTCCCCTTAAAGCTGGCAAACATGGAATTACGTTTTGGGGAGTAAAAAAAATGAGCAAAAAATGTAAGGCCCCTCAATTCCATGTCAGCGAAACAAGGACACTTACCAGAAACCAACCAAAATAAACAAACTGATTCTACAGCTACTCAAACCAAAAAATTATTCTCAGTAGAAACAACTCCTCTTTATGTTATGTTGAATAATCTGGATACACTTGGAGGGGAATCTGTGCCTCTGAGAGAGTAGGACACTATCAACTTTGTGGTTTATATATGATGTGATATTAGGAGCTCTGATTCGGATGCTTACACGTAAAGCAGTCATTATATTATCTTTTTGGCATTTAAATATAAATGGGATCACCAGATCTCTGACAGAGGAAAGCCCCACTGCTACAGGGTTTTACTTGTAATACTGTGTACAATTAAGAATGATATGGTATGACATTTGATAACTCAGGAAATAAATCAAATTATTAATAGTACATTTCTGTGTAGCCTCATCTACATGATGCAAATCCATAGGTCATGTGCAAACATTTAATATTTCTTAACTCCTTCAGTAGGTGGAAAAAGTAAAGTACCCCTTGTAATGTGTATAGGTATTTGTTAAGGCGTTCACAGAGCCAAAAAGTGATGTTTTCTAATGGTGTTTGACATTGTAAACAATGAAACTCTTCAATGATAGGTTAAAGGATGTTTTGTTTGGGTTTTTAGTCTTTAGCACTTCTCAATTTTAGCTGAAGTGTAAGATAACTGCACAATGCTGTGATCTACCCCATAGTCTGAAACACATGTGCCCACATGATGACCAGAAGAATCTAGATCACTGTTTTCTCATTCACATGAAAACAGCCTTCTGTTGAAAGAGACTAAGTAGAAATTGCTTTTGCTGTCAGATTGCTGCCAATGCTCTTTCCCAGCCAAACTAAGTGGCAATGATAATGAATCCTTAGGCAGAATAATGTTGCCTTTTCCCTCCTTTTCTAGGAATGTTCAAGTTCAATGCTATTTTCACTAATGTTTCAAGAGAAAAAAGGTACCATGCAAAACAGGAGTGATTCTTGGTCCTGGCATACAGTATATAGTATGTTATGGCATAATAGTATGCAGTTGTATGAGACTAGTAGTCTTCATGGTAACACCCTCAGTTATGTGGGTTCTGTCCTCCATGACAAAGTGATCATTCTACACATGCACACAAACATTCCCTGAAAGCACTTGTGTAAAGGGCCAACAGGATGTATAGACACTCCCCACTTCTTAGGTCTGTCTTCTGGTTTTCTTTGTTTGGGGATTTTTCTTTCTATTTGTGTGTTTTCTTCTATAGGTTTCTGCAAAATATATATACATATATATACACACACACACATCTATATATGTGCGTGTATATACATATATATCAATTTGTGAATGTTCTTATCCATGCTTTTTCTGCTTTGCCTCATTTACTCATGTATTCTCCATGGTCTCATTTATTTTTTGTGCAACTAAATCTTACAATAAATTATTATTAACTATAACTTGCTTATGACAGAGTCTTGTGGTTTTATTTTTATCCTGAGAGTTAAACAGTCTGCCCCCAGCCCATGTCAAAATCATGCGAACCCAAGTGACTGTAATGACTGCTGGGAAAGTCTGCATGAGCTTGGGGCTCTATCAGATGGACAGCACCTACTAACTCTTAGGGTGTGTACGCATGACAAGATTTCTATGCAATAGTTTACCTGAATTTTACTTCACAGTAAAATTTACTTTGTAATAAGAAGCGAGTGGATGCACCACTTTCCATCTAAGTGTACCATTACAATGTCTGGCCACTAGATGGCAGGAGAGTCGGTTTGCATTGGGCAAATGACTACTCCTAGATGTAATACACTAGAGAAGTGGACACACAAGTAGAAACTTCCCACAATAATGGTTATTACTTATTTTTCAAGGACTAACTTTAATCTGGATTCAAATGATATACTACTGTCTAAAGCTCTATTTCTACTATATAGCAAGGCCAATTAGCTATATAACAAATATGTCATGTGCCAGCAACTTAAAGCAAGGAAGGAAAAGGTTATTTTATTTTACCTGGGGAACTCAGTTTCATTTCACATCCACGGATATTGCCAATAGGCAACAAAAAAGAGTTTCATACTGCCACCACTATAAAACATTGATTGGGATAGCCACTGGTGAGGTTCAATACATGAAACTAGACTAAAAAGAACATGTTTTCCTTCTGCTTCACTCTTTCACATCAATCTTTCATGGAATTCAGCCCTAGTGTGAACAGATTTAGTTATACTGATATCAGAATTGAATTTGGTGCTTAATCTATTTCCCCCACCAAAAATATTATTGCTTAAAATATGGACTAGGAAAGTTTAAATCATAAACATAAATACTGTCCCGCTCCAGATAGGGACTGCATTGTATAGTAGATATACCAAACCTACCTTAAACAAGTTAACAAAGGAACCCAAAGCAGTCTGGGCATTCTACCAGGATGACCAGTGCAGGTCATTTTCCCTGTTTCTTGTTTAAAGTTGTATCAGGTATCTAAACTGTACTGCAGAATGCAGTGTAGACAGCCAGAGTTGGGCAGTTGATGGGAGACTTATGAATAGGTCAAGCTTGTATAAACAGATAATTCAAGAGAAGCCTATGATTGTGCAGTACTTTGATTAGTTAATTCAGACATAAGGCAGCAGCGCATATTCTTATCCTGGGTTAGCGTGAGAAGTTTCTGTAGTTGACATAAATATCCTCTGTCTGCCTGGATGTGGAAGCTCCTTCTCTTTCTGAGTTTGGTGTGCTAACAAAATGGGATCTTCCATAACTGTTCATGGGCTAGAAGAACACAAAGAAGTTAAAGGGTTTCAACAATGAACTGCAAATGGCAGAGGTTCAGCAAAAGAGAACACTTTATTTCACTCAAAGGAAACTCACAATGGAGCTAAACTGCAAGTGCGCCTGTTAGTTGTGAGCTTCAACTGTTTTCAGTGCAACAAGAATAAGAATATCAGAAAAATATAGAAAAGCTGCTTTCGTAACAGTGGCTTGAGGCAAAGATTAGCATGTAAATAGCACTGAGCACAGATCTCATTTACAACAATAGAAGATAATGCAGTAGTGAAACTAAAATTAGAAAGAATAGAGACAGGAAGGGAAGTTGCAAAAATTTACCATGTTTAATAATCTTAACTTTTCAAATGTCCAGAGTTTTCTCAAAGCATCTAGAACTTTGAGTTTTAACTATTTCTCTTCCCAGGGGAATTGTTGGGTGCTAATTTATACTTGGGGAAAAATTCAAATGTATCACTTGAAACCTAAAGCCATTGCATTATTTTCCCAATTTACTTATTACATACTATGTTTAGTTTAAACCCCCAACTTGTTTCTCTTCTTTTTATCATGCATGGAAGTTGGCAGGATAATGAAGTGTAAATTGCAAAACCATAAAGGTTCCTTTCAGGAAAACACTTTTAATTTTGGAGGTTTACCTGAACTGTAGCCTGGCCTAATCTGAGTTACACTAGTTTGGGTGTAAACTAGTTGAGAGTGGATTTAGGTTGGATATTAGGAAGAAATTTTTCACAGTAAGGGTGGCCAGGATCTGGAATGGGCTTCCAAGAGAGGTGGACTGAACTGGTGCTACGGCTGCCCCAGGAGACCCCCCAGAACCTCTTGTCTAGATGCACCCCAAATGTCCTCCTGTTGTGCTTTGCATAATGACGCAAATCACATGTGAATTGCTAACTACCTTACACAGCTATAGTTCTGTCCAACCCAACTAAATTTGCTCCTATTGTGCATGCTCGGAAGCAATTTAGTGCTGGGCAAGATGCAGCTAAGTCCATTTACATTCCATTGTGATCCAACATTGCCAAGGGTACACAGAGGAACACTGACCACCCTCAGTACAGGGCAACAACCTGATCATAAGACAACAAACTAGGCTGGCCTGGAAGAACTTGCCTCCTGGGACACTGGTGGTTTCTCTCCCCTGGAAAATCTCTCCTGAAATTACCTTTCTCCTGTAACACCTCTCATAACACATTCGGTTAATCAAGAGAGTGGCATGGTTAAAGTCAAGGCTGATGATTCAATTGTTTTCAGTTCATTTTGCATATAACAAGCCAGAGCCTCCACCCACTAGCACTGATACAAGTCCATTGGACTAAATCCTTCCACTTGTTACAAAAATGCATCTACGTGCTGCCCATTGAAATGAAGAGTTGTTCTTCATTAGAAGCAGTTGCTCATTCCTGCAGGGCAAAGTCAGATTCACCTGTGGGCCTGCTCAAGTTGCGTGCTTGTACCCACTGAAAGTACAGGACAATAATTTGTCTGGACAGGCAAAATAGGATGCCTGCCTAATTCTGGTCATTGATCTCAGGAACTAGCCAGCAGCCACACTACAGAAGTGTTGTGGGTGAAACAGGATTCTGCCCTCAGGACCCCAGTTTCTGAGGAAGTGCTTATGTAGACATTATGCTAAAGGAGGGTTCAGGGTGATGAATTCCATGTATGGAGGGGCACTTAAGTCTTAGAGAAGGGTGAGATTCAAAACATGTCTATTTAAAACATAATATTTCCCATTGGCATGCTCAGGTAGCTCCCTGCACAGCACGTTAGCTTTTGTGGATCATGTTCTTAAGTAAAAACATGTTTTCATGCATTATACAGAGAGTTTAGGCAGAAAACTTAGAGCTGCTGATTCCATTAGGTGGACCGGCACTTGAAATCTAGGTGTTTCAAAGCTTGATGTTGAAACACTTAAGTTTCCTTTGTAGATTTGATTCTTAATTCATAAGGGAACTTAGGTACCTAACTGCTAGCTCAGGTACCCAATTCCAACATTTAGGTATCACTTAGCTCCTACAATTCCCCATTCATCTACTGCTTAAACCTGTAAGTGCCTAAGATTCTACTGATAAAATCTTTTTAAAATATAGGTAAAAGGCAGTTAACTCCATTCTTTATTTATAATCTGGTAGACCATCCCCACGTAACTACGGTAGATGCCCAGATAAATGGCTTTTACTGATTGTCCTGATTCTGTAGGATGTCCCAGTTGTCTAAGCCTAGCTGCTCACATTACTTTGAAAATTGGTTCTCCCTTCCTCCCCTTTGCCCCATTTCAACTATCAAGCTGGCAAGAGAATATCTCCCATCTAGACTAGGATCCAACCTCCTCCCTTGTTACACTGCTTCTCCTGAGACATGGAAATGAGAGAAGGGAAGTGCAAGGCAAAAGAAAGGGCCTGAACAAGAACAAGAAGCAATTAGAGATTAAAGGAGAAACTATAAAATTATCCAAATATACATGCCCTTCTCCACTGAAAATCACCTTCATTACCCCCTTTCTTGCTTGCTTGCTTGCCAGGCTTACCACTAGCAGTGTATGCAACACCAAATTTGACATCGCCCATTGCCAACTGCTGAAGCTGTAATTTAAAACCCTTTGACTAGGCAGGGATCTCTGGATCTCATTTTTAAAAACTCTAGTTATCTTATAAATCATATCAGTGTTCCTAGGAATAACAACTGGTAGTGCATTTCCTCATTTCCTGATGCCACTGAAAATAACAGTTAAATAGGGTCAGATTCTGACTCTGGAGCACATTTACATTGGTTGGCTGACTTTATTGGAATTAAAGTCTGGAACACACCAGGTGAGGATCTGACCAAAGTGGTAAGTGGTGGCAGGGAGGGAGGGAAATAAGTAAATATCAGTACTTGGCAAATGGAGCTCCCAAAGGCTAAATCTGTGACACGTGAGTTTTCAAAACATAAAACTTCTTCATAAATATAGGGCTATTATCGCTTCATTCCAGGGTCAAGTTGTAGTAAAACTGCTACTTATACAGGGGTGTTTCAGAAAGTAATGGCAATTTTGAAGTAAAACTTGTGTGCCATGAGGAAGAAATGACAAAGCAGCAGTGAACACTATGGCAGCACTGTCAACTGCACTTATTATTTACAGCCATGTAGGCTAAGAACAGACATTCAAAAAGCCCATGCCTGAATTCATTAAATCTTTGCAGGCTAGTCCAACCTGTGTAGATTGAACTGAGAAGCAAGGAAACAGACATTCACTTTTGATTCTGGAAATGCAGCCACATGCCTGCAGTGACTCAGGCTAGAAGCTGGGGGGCACTAGAGCAAGCCCTCCCTTCCCTTTGGCAGTGGCTGGAAGGCTAAAAGGAAGCTGAGCTGGGCAGGGAAGGAGGGCATGGCCAGGCCCCAGAAGGCCTCTGAGTATGATGGGAGAGGGGTATAAACCCCAACCCTGGCCTGCAGGGACCCCAGCTGGGATATGCCTAGAGGAGGAAGGGGGAAGCCCCTAAACTGCCCTTCAGGGCCCCCGAATCTGAAGTGAATACTAGCCGCTTCACACAGGCCTATCAGCCAGCCCTCACTGCTCTGGCTAGACAGCAGAGGGGCAGGGCCAATCCTGCTCTGCTCAAGCAGACAGCACAGCCCAGTCCAGGATTGCCAAGCACATTGGGGTACTGAGGGACTGTGATTTAACTTGAACCAGGAAGGGGTTTGGGACAGAACTTCCATAGACCGGTTTGACCTAAATCATTTAAGGCTGATACTGCATTCAACCAGGTTTATCTTAAACTAGTTTTGGCCAGTTTGAAACTGGCTTGTGTGCACTAAACTTCTTTTCTGTTACAGGTTTAAACCAGTTTCTGATCATTTAAACCGGTTCATGTGTAACTTCTGTCACTAGCCATAAAGAAGTGATGTGGCCCAGTAAATGATCTTTGCACCCAAAATTATTTTATTTTGAAATTGCCATTACATTCTAAAACAGCTCCCTAAAAAATGTGGCTATTTCAAATCATTTTCAGGGAATATATGAAGTGAAAAGTGAAAAAAAAAACACCCTGCATTTTCAATACATGTCGTATTTCCAAAGTTGCTCCCATCTTAGGGCAATTGCTAGTTCCACAATAGTAATCTAAATCTGCCTGCAGAGGGGAAGAAAGCCACTACAGCTCACCTTCTCAGAAGATGGGAGGCTTCCAAGTTGATTTAACTCAGCCCTGAACCATCTCTGCTTTATCTTACTGCTTGTTTTTAACCTCTGCTTCCAGTCAATGCTCAGTATAAAGGGAAGCTCTGAAAACGTCTCAAGAAAATTAAGAGCAACTGAATTACAAGATCTGGGAAATGATTATGGTCAAACTACTTGTCTTACACGTGGTAACATTTTCTCACCTTTTTTACATATGGATGCTTAACGGAAACAACGATAAAAACTACCAGTGCTCCATGTATCACACCAATTTGCAAATAAAAAGAGCCTTAGCCCCCTCACACCTTGATTTTGCATATGCAGTAAAGAACACTAAAAGCAAAAAGAAAATTATGAAGAAATGTCACAAATACTAGAGTTTGGTCGATGTTTAACTTGGATATGGAAAGTAGGTGTAAAAGATACATACACAGTACACAGAAAAGAAAGATATTGGGAAAATTCAATTAAAAGCAAGTAATTCTCTAATCGGTCTTACCCTGTTCTGAGTAGAGTAAAAAGTCTTTGACATGGTCATGATCCTTCTCCTCTTCTTTCTGGTGATACACATTCAACAGGTATATTATAGAGGAACTACATGGTTTTGGTACAGTTACTAGCATGTGCATTGAAATAGCTTAACAACCTGAACTTTCAGAAAAGGCCAAATGTCTGGAACACAGCTTGGTGACATAATTAATGCTTCCCAGATCTTGTAGCAAACAGAACACAAAAAAGCGATGTGGTATCACATCCAGCCACCTTTGACTCTCCAGTCCAAATGACCAAGAACCCATCTACAGCTGGAGTTACTAGAAGCAGACTTCAATAAGATCCTGAAGCAGGGCTCATGTTCCCTCCTCTGGATCTAAAGGAAGACACCTCAACCAATTTGTTACTGTGGCTCTTCTAGCACAATAGAGACATTAAATTATCAGTACACAAATAATAACTATACAGACTTAAACAGCCATTAAACATATAATGGTGGGCTGGCTTACTTTCCTAACAAACCAAAGAAAACAACAAATTACAGTCTCTCCTGGTGCCTCTGAAATCCTGCCTTTGTATGTCTGGCTTACATATAAAATATAAGTTACTTGGGGGCCGAGATTGGCTTTGGCTCCTACAGGGCTCAGTATTGCTGGTGTACAGCACATAGTAAGTCCATATATAAAATATCCTTTTTCACAGAAATGCAAAACTGTTTGCCAGGATATAATGATAACCTCTTTCTTAAAATGATTTAAGCCATTGGGGAAAGTGGGGCAGAATTACTCTTTTTTTCATTTATCACTTTCACAAAAACTAACATCAAATTCAAGTCCAGCTTCTTTCACTCATTTTGGCCAGGGATACTGTAAATTTGGAGCAATACTATAGACCAGTTTGAGCTTAGCCACTCACAGAGGGACTGACAAATTTAGAACCGAGTCCCTTGTCATATCATTCCAAAGCAATGGCATGACTAGGATGCCAACTTGGAGGACAGGAGGACTGGAAAAATTGGCTGCTATTGCAGCCAGTGCAGCCACAACTAGAAGCTACCATGTGCATAACAGCTGCCCCTGGTGGCTGGCCACATTGCTATACTTCTGTTCCAAAATGTTCCAGTTGAGGTTTATTTCACTAAGCATTTAATAAAAGTAGAGCTTATTTTAAAATTTAAAAATGGAGTAAATGTTGCATTTCCCCCCACTGTTTTCAACTAGATGAAGAACTGAGCAGAATTGTCAAAGCATGGAATTTTGAAAAAAAAGATGGAATTTTCCAAACCCACTTCTAGGGGTTTGTTTTTTTTTTAATCAACTCTACAGTGGATGCTAAAGCATTAGCAGTTGTGACAATAGGAAAATAGCCAATATGGGTCTGTGACACTTTGGAGCTACCCGCTACAATGAGGACTTGAATCTGTTACTCTACTTACTTTCTGTGGTAAACAACGGTGCTGATAATGATGATCAGGAGAATTATCAGTAGTAGGAATGCAGCAGCAGCCCCTCCGGCAATGAAAAAAATACCCTGAGGATGAGCCAGACCTTCTAGAAGATGATGATATAATATTAACATTTTGGAGAGACAGTAAGAATACACCACATCACATCACATTAAAATTCTACTCAAAAGCTATCTACATCTAAACAAAAGTAATTTGGGCAAAAGAGGAAATGAGAGTGGACTGTCACACCTTCACAGACATATATTTTCTATTTACATGGTAGTTCTTGGAAGAAATTAGACAATACTAGGTAAGAAAGCACAATACAGAGATATGAGATAAACAAGACATACTTTATTTTCTTCCCTAAGAAACCACAGTATAACATATGCTAATGTCTTGATATCGAGATAATAAAAATACTGGCCAATTAAGCTGTTACAGATTCAGATATGTCATAGCCCCCTTTACAATGGTTATCCTAAGCCAGCTGAAGAACAATCACACAAGCAGCCCATGGACAACAAGACTCAGATAACCCTATTATTTAAGAAGTCCTTGTCTTCTCTTCAGAGTCCTAAAGTGTTACCATAGTCACAAACAGACTTGCCAAAAGATTTTATATAATCATGTTAGTTTTTTCTTATACTAAAAATAGCCAGACCTGTTTGTGCTTGTAAAGGCACTCTCACAAAAATGAATGTAATTTTGTATATCTCAGTGTTGCATATTATTGCATTCCAGGGGGTCAGCAACCTCCAACATGCATGCCAGAGCATGGATATTTTGCTTGGCTTGCACACCTTGAGGTGGAGAGTGGGGAAGGGGCTGGGGCTTCACTGCCACAACAAGGATCGGGCCCCTCATGGCTCCCCCACCGTTTGACTAGATCAGGGGCGGGCAATTATTTTGGGCAGAGGGCCGCTTACTGAGTTTTGGCAAGCCATTGAGGGCTGTATGACAGGCAGCCCAGGGCAGATAAATATTAATTTTCTAAATTTTTTAGGGGCCCCGCAGGCCAGATAGAATGGTCTGGCGGGCCACATCCGGCCCTCAGGCCGCATTTTGCCTACCCGTGGCCTAGATGTACACATGTACCTACTGCCAGGAACAAGCTGGGCTGGGGCTCTGCAGACCCTGATGCAGCTGCTTGCAGCCTCCCTGCCACCTGCCACAAGCAGTCCAGGATCTATGGCAGATGGCAAGGGCCTGCCCAGAGCCTGGGCCAGCTGTGGTAGACAGCCAGGAACCTGCAAGCAGCTGCACCAGGGTCTGCAGAGCCCCGGCCAGGCTTGTTGCTGGTGGCAGGTGCACTGACACCTGGGGCAGATAGTAGGGGAGCTGCTAGGGGCCCAATCCTTGTTGTGGCAGGAGAGCCTTAGGCCCTTCCCTGGTGTCTGTCCTGAGGCATGTGTGCACCTGCCACTGGCAATTAGTCAGGCCGGGGCTCTGCAGAACTTAGTGCAGCCACTTGCACTTCTCAGCTGCCTGCCACAGCTGACCCAGGCTCTGGGCAGCCCCTGCTGCTTACCATGGAGCCCAGGCTGCTTACACCAGGCAACAGGGAGGTGCAAGAAGCTGCACCAGGGTCTTCAGAGCCCCAGCCAGGTTCACTGCCAGCAGCAAGTGCATGCCTGTCTCTGGGCGGATGGTGAAAAGGAGTCCGGGCTGTGCTGCCACAATAAGGATCAGGCCCCTTGCAGCTCCCCCACCATCTGCCCCTGGCACACCAACATCTTCCAAGTAAAGGTTTTGGGGGTTTTGGCTCTCTGCCCTAAAATGTTGTCAACCCCCGTTCTAGTCTTTAACAAAAAAGAGAAAAAGTTCTGATAACTGTAACCAAGGAAGAAGGAGCTATATTTACGCTTGGCTGCACACTGCTTGATGTGTTTACATTTTGTTCTCGAAAAAAAAAGTGAACTCCTTGAACTGTAGTCAAAGTCCAAGAAAGCATCCCTGGCAAAGATGACTTAAGAACCAGATTTGTGCTATCCCAAGTGTGGGACTCCTCTGTTTGTTGATCTATCTACATATATTCATTTGAGCATCGCAAATATTAAGATGTGCTCGCAACACTGCTGTCACATGGGAAGCGTGCTCTTATTTTGCCAACAAAAAAGCAAACTACTGGAATTAGGGAAGCAACTTGCCTGAGGTCACTTACTCTGTGGTGGAGCCAAGATGTGAATTTAGTTTTGATGAAGGGACACGCACCCTTTGGTGAGTATATGGAAACTGAATAGCGTGTGGGCTAAATAGTTATTTTGAGTAGATTTTTAACAAATCCTAATACTAAGATTAATAAGAGCAGAAAAAGGTGTGCATTAAACCACAAACATTTTAGTCAGCCTTTGTGCAACCCACCATAGGCACTGCTTCCTGTTCCTCAGAGCAGCAGCAGCAGCAGCATGCATACCCAGCTGCACTAGCAGCAAATACTTACCCTAGCCAGCTACTCGCACCACCTTGCAGCAGATCTTAAGTTTCACAGTGTGCTCATGACTCACCAAGCCCCACAGCCCAACAAGTCTTGGGAGTCATTCTCTCTAGCTATTTACATAAGAAAATGTTCCTTACACTTTCTTCCACTGCTTTTCCCTCACATTATGTGAGTGGTAGGATACAGCCTAAAGCAGCAACATTCAAAATAAAGATGCTGTTTTCAGTATTGCTGTTGCTGTTTTCAATATTGATAGGAAGCAAGAAGTGTAAGTAACAAGGAGAAGGGAGGTCCATGGTGAGAAAAGCCAGCTCTAAACAGTTAAAAATGGGAAATTATCTCCAGCTGTATGATACAGGCAACCCCCCCATATAATGCTGTTTCACTTAGCACTATTTCGCTATAACGCTCATTTGAAATTGATACCTGATTTCACTTAGTGCTCAGCTAGTCTCGTTATAATGCTCACGGTAGGTCATTAAAAACAATTGCAGTCACCATCTTGGACTGCAAAAATACTTTTGATTTCGCTTAACACTCGTCTTGCTGAACACTTGGTTTTTCAGGAACCAATTAAGAGCGCTAAGTGGGGCTTGCCTATATATAAAATTCAATGTATTGGTGGTTCTCAAACATTGGTTCAAGGACTCTGGCTGGTCAGAATGAGCTTCTTGTTCCCATCTGGTTGTTAAGCTGCATTCAAAGACAGCTAACTGCTTTTCTAACATTATTTTTCCATGCTGGCAATTATCTTGCCAGAGACATTATATAACTTAAAATAGGAGGGAAGCAACCCATGAGAACACACCTTTATAAAGATCCAATCCATGCTATTAAAGACTTTTAAAATCCTTGCTAGGCATCATTTTGTTGTTACTATCTATAATTTTTATTGCAGAGCCTAGAGGACTAAAGAGCAGGGCTGTGTAAATTCCCTTTGAGGATCAGGCCTGAGAGATTGGAGACAGGTGGCGTTCTGTTCTTGTCTTTGATAGATTTTCAGTGTGCGCTCATTCTGGTGTGCAGTTTTTGCTTGGTGTCTCCACGTACTTTCCATCAGGGCACTTGGTGCCCTGATGGAGATATGTATTGTATTGTGAAGATATCTCCATACTGGAGATACTGTTGGCAGGTTTTGCATGTCTTGTCATGGCATGGCCTGGATCCATTCAATGTGTTTTGGGCTATAGGAAGTTAGTTTCTGGTGATGAGGTTAATGAGGTTTGTGAGGCATGTTTGAATTTACAAACCACTTTTCACAGACAAGCCTATGAACTGCACTTCATCAACCTCCTCAGTACAGAAACTCATGAACTTAATATAGACATTGGAATTGTGACACACTACAACCTGCTGGACATCTGACTCCCCAGACACCTCTCCTCTTTTACCTGCACTTCTACATCCCCCTTTTCCCCCGCCCTTCTCCCCAGCCTGTCCCTCACCCCCTGACACCTCCATTTACATTTTCACTGACTGGCTTTCTTACCTGAATTGCATTGCCAGCCTCTGGCATCTTTACTATGCCTTCCATCCAGGAACAGCACACACACCAACTGCAGGTGCTTCCTCAGCCTGATGAAGGGTTTTTCAACCCAAAAGCTTGCTAAGATATATTTCTCTAACTATTCAGTTGCTCTACTAAAAGATACCAGATTAGATTGACCCAAAGAACCTTGTCTGCCAGTGCCATGTCCTTAGAACAACACCCCTAGCACCTGTCCCCGGTCAGCTGACCAGAAGGATGCAGGGCCCTAGGCCCCGGGGCTGGGGCTGGCAGGGAGAGTTCTCTGGCAGCTGCTGGAGAAGAAGCTCCTGCAGGAAAGGAAAGAAAGGCTCTGTGATAGTTTGGCTGCCTGAAATGCTGCTGGTGCTACTGTGCTGCTTACTAAGTTATTACCTGTTGTTATTTTAAGTGGTGGACTGAGCTGAGGGCTGTAGGGGAAGGGCATACTACTGTGTTGTGTAGAGGCCCCAGCGCCAGTGAGGGCACACCTTAACACACACACAGTCACACGTCACGAGTTCTGCTTGTCAGCAGCTTGAGGTGCAGTTTCCCAGAAACCCCTGCATCTATCTCTTTGAAACCTGGCAGGCTTTATGACCTCAGTAAGGGCTACCATGCCTTCAGTTTTCACCCTGCTGCACCTCAACACACACACGTAACATGGGTTTTTCTTGTCAGCAGATTGAAGTGAAATTTCCCAGAAACCCCTGAACTTATCTCCTTGAAACTTGGCAAGCTTTGTGGCCTCAAAAGGTGCTACTGTCTCTGCTGTTTTCATCTAAATCTGTCAAAAAATGACAATGTTATGGGGAGTTTTGTGCTTCCCCATTATAGCCTATGGGCAAAACCTTGAAACAGCAAAACAGTTTCCACTAAACGAAACGGAGCAGTGGATCAAAACTAAATGAAACTCAAAATGAAACACTGTCCCATCAAAATGGTGAAATGGAAGTTGAAATGAAATGGTGCTGTTTCGCACAGCCCTACTAAAGAGAGGCTGTTTCGCACAGCCCTACAAACTGAGGCACCATTGTGCTGAGCATTGTAAAGACACAAAACCAGTGGTGTAGGGTATTCATGGAGTTCCCAGGGCAGGAGGGGGGACCATTCTGCTTACCCCACTTGTTCCTCACCCCTAGATATGCTGTAGTTCAGGTTGCTCTGCCCAGCTCCTGTGGCCAGGCAAAGGCAGTGCAGAGAAAGGTTCTGGTTGGCAGGGGGCAAGCTGAAGAAGGGAGGATGGGAGCACCGTTCTTCTAGATCCATTCACTGCCTCTGCCTACCAGATACACTGATTAGTTCAGCACAGCCTTGCCTGGTTCATACGGCCAGGTAGGGGAAGCAGAGCATCCCCTGCCATGGGCCATGGCAAAAAATCCTGGCATGGGAGGGATCCTTCATAGTTGACAGCCAGGGTGGATGCCCCTATCACCCTGCCCTAATTATGCTCCTGCACAAAGGGCATGTCTGCCTACCTCGTGGTAAGGAACATCACTATGAAAGTGCACCCCACTGACTCCCGCCTACTCTACATCACTGTACGGTGACATGATGTCACTCAGTTACCTTCTGAATGTTACCATGAGTTAACCAGAGACTAAGACTGTGGTAGGGTGAGCCCAGGCCATCAACCATAAAGCAACCACATGTCAGTTTTTCAGTCACTTCAAAGAGTATAACAGTGGTTTTCAAACTTAATATGTGGACCCCTAAAAATTTTGAATGGAGATACAGACCCCTTTGAATTGTAAGTACAAGTATTCGAATACTATTGATTGATCATAGTTATCCTTTGCAGACCCCTTAGACATAATCTCTGGACCCCCAGGGGTCCATAGACCACAGGTTGAAGACCACTGGAATATAAATAATGGAGCAGGTGGGCTTCATTAGGACAGATCTTCCTAGCACTGTTGTAGATGAGGTAGACACACCCGAAGTGACAATCCCTGCTTTAAAGAACTTAGAATCATAGAATCATTGAAAAATTAGGATCGGAAGGGACCTCAGGAGGTCATCTAGTACAACTCCCTGGTCAAAGCAGGACCATCCCCAACTAATTATCCCAGCCAAGTCTTTGTCTAGCCAGGTCTTAACAACCTCTAAGGATGAAGATCCTACCACCTCCCTGGGTAACTTGTTCCAGTGCTTCACCACTCTCCTGGTGAGAAAGTTTTTCCTAATATCTAACCTAAACTTCCCTTGCTGCATCTTGAGACCATTGCTCCTTGTTCTGACATCTGCAACCACTGAGAACAGTCTAGCTCCATTCTCTTTGGAAACACCTGTCAGGTAGTTAAAGGCTGCTATCAAATCCCCTCGATCTTCTTTTCTTCAGACTAAGTAAGCCCAGTTCCCTCTGCCTCTCCTCATAAGTCATGTGCCCCAGCCCCCTAACCATTTTCATTCCCCTAAACTTATAGTATAAATAGACAAGAAGCAGACTGGGAGGTATTAGAAAGAGAATGGCTTGGAGGGCTGGGGGGGGGCAAAGAATACTACTAGTAATAATAATAATAATACAAGTCTATTTTTGCATGGATTAGCTAAATGCATGATTCATAGGAATAATAAGCTAATCAGTATCAGTAATGACAGCAATCACAACTTGCCACCTGCTCAGCCATTACCAGATGGCTGTGTTATCTTGACATCAGGGCAGAGGTGAATCCTAAGGAGGAATCTGATGGAAGCTAAAGTAGCATTTTACTTACTTCCCTGAACAGCAGTTGAAATTGTTTTCTCTAACTTCTCTTCAACACTAATGTTCATAAGGGAACATTCAAAACTCATGGTCATGGGGCACAGACTGATTACATAAGAATTCCAAGACTGAATTTCAATACTATTTTACTGAAAATAAAAAAAACCCCTCAAAAGTTTGTATGGCTAAAGGGAGGTGGGATGCTGCAGAGTGCTCAGAGGTTATAGGAAACATTTGTATTGTAAGAATGTACACAAGGCTCATGGCTTTGTGTGTTGAATGTGATTTTACTTGTCATACTAATGAGAAAGCTACCACAGCCTAGTTTCTAAAAAAATGTGTCTGATGTGTCTAATGTGTCTGATACATTGTAAGGGTTTTTTTTTAAGTATATAATAAGTAGTTACAGAAGCAAAAGCAACCAAAAACAAAAAAATTCCTTGTAAACAGCAAGTAGAAACATGTAAATATTTTAGCTGCTTTGCTAAAACTGATCATTTGAATACTATTAGAGTGATATGTGCAATTTAATTAGGTACAGGTAAAAAACAGAGTAAGGTCAATATGTCTAACCTGAGTCCATCTCATCAAGGTGGATTCAAATACAAAATGGACTCTGAAACACTCAAATCCGTGGGAACTTCAGCTCCAGTGTTATCAGTCAGGATCACCTCTGACCAACATGAACTTGGATGCTGGAATTACCAGCTGTCCAGTCAAATTTGGATTAAAAAAAGCTGAAGATTTAGCTATAGAAACAGCAATGCCTCACAGCCCTTTTGACTTTCCTCATTTGAAGTGAATGATGCCCTCCTGCTGTTTTTGTTTGCTTAAATATACCAAGCCCAACTGTAACTACTAACCTTAAGATTT